ATAAGTTCTCATAAATGCATCAACTTAGATAAATAAATAATTATAATTTTATTTCATAATCAATAAATTCGACAAATGCATCAATTTAAATAAATAAATTTAATTTTAATCTATAACGAATAAAGTGACATAAACGAATCAAATCAAATAAACAAACAATTTTGGTTTTAATTAATAAACAATAAATTTATACAGCTACGTCAATTGAAATAAATAAATAATTTTAATTTTAATACGTAACCAATAAATCCACTAAATACACCAATTGATATAAATAAATAAGTAAATAAATAATTTGAATCTTAATGTATAAACAATCAATTGACTAAATGATCGGTCGAAATAAATAAATAATTTTGATTTTAATTCATAAACCAATAAATCCACTAAATACATCAACTTATATAAAAAGAATCTTTTATAATGAATGTTTATTGTGCCTGGCTTAATCGTTGTTGTTGTCTAAAACAAAAATAAATAACTGATTTAAAGTAAAAAAATGCTTACTTTATTTGGATCTACTGTGGTTATCATCTAAAATAAAAATAATGGATAATTTAAATTAAATCAATACTTGCTTTGATTGAACCAATTGTTCATATGATCTAAAATAAAATAAACGATAATTCAATTAAAATAAATACTATAAATCAACACTATTATATAAGTTTACCTTCAGTTTGAATTGTAAAACTTTCAAATTTTTTACTGTTATCTCTATTCAAATAATTTGAACTATTGCTGGATGTTAATTCTTGTTCTTGAACAATTGCTTTTGACGTAAAAAATGCACTATTATTTACATCTTGTAAATATTCACCGTGTAAATATGGATCATAATTTGTGATAATGGAACTACCTGTTCCATTTGTATTATTGTACAAAGTACTAATTGAATCATTCCATTTAAATTCATCATTTTCTTCTTCAACTGTGAAATGGTTAGCTGTTGTAGTGAAACTTTCAACAATATTCTTTGCTAAATCAGTATGATATTTGTAATTTTTACGTTGTAAATCTAATCTTTTCTTCTTTCTCTGACGACCTATCTCTATCAAATCATTGATTCTCTTTTGTTGATTCATTTTAATAAAAATTTACTGATCACATATACACCTGACAAGAAAATCAAAGTAATAAAGACAAGATAGACTTATTTAACAATGATGTGCGCAATTTACTTTTGTACATCATAGAATAGATAATATAGATTAAAAACACCGACGAGAAGATTCTTCGTCATTTTATAAGAAGACGTCGGTGAATGTGTCGGATATTAGGAAGAGAAAAAATAAGATAAAGTAAGAATCGATTCCTTATTGTTTCTGTTGATATACGTACAATGTCTTTATGTATTCTCCTATCTTTTATGTACTTGGAGTGCAAAAATAACTTATTCGACATTACTATCTAAAACAACAATAAATTTGATTGGTCAAACTGATTTAACAAGTGGTGTAACTTTTTACCAGATAGACACTAATATATAGAAGATGTATTTTCAAAACTGAAGGATGCATCATTTAAATTAGAACGTATTTAATCGCTTAAGAGTTTATTTAAATACATGAAACTATCGTTATAAAAATTATTTACACAAGACAAACTTATTATTATGATCTTATACGATCGTATAAGATCTGATCATCAGATTTTATAAAAAATCTTACTGTAAGATTCTTACAAAATCTGATGATCAGATCTTATGCGGTCGTACAAGGTCTCATACGATCTGATCATCAGACTTTGTAAGAATCTTACAGTAAGATTTTTGTACGATTCTGTAAGATCATACAGTATGAATCTTACGATATCTGATGGTCCATAAGATCTTGTAAGATCTTATACGATCATCATAAGATTTTTTCACCTGGGCATCCCACAGAAAATTTCAATGTGGAGGCTAACTACAGCTCGAGCAGACCACAACGCCTCTGTTTTTGCATAGTTAATAGGCTGAACATGCAGGATAGAGTAGAATTCTAGTCTTTCAAGAAATAGATTAAGACGTTTTTCTAGATCTAGATATTGTTCACTATACTTAGTATCAATCCTTCTTGCAAGCACAGCTGCAAGATCATCTGCAAAAAAGAATGGAACACAGAAATCTAAAAAATCTCTCATATCTGAGTGGTAAGTTATAAATAATTTAGGTGTAAGGATGGAATTCTGCGGTCCTTCTCTATTGATTGAGAACCATCTTGAACATTTTTCTTGGATTTCGATGTATGCTCTTCTACTTCCTAGCCATGACTTTATTCATTCCAAGTGCGGTCTAGGAATTCCCATCCTGCGAAGTTTAGCTATACGCCCATCAAAGCATAGTTGGTCAAAAGCGCTTTCGAAATCCATAAAGATAGTGGCCACAGGTGAGCTATTTGCCATGTATGATGATATTTGTTCTAAAAACAAGAGAACTCTAGTCTGAAGTCGAAAACCAGGTATAAATCCCGATTGAGTGCCAGGTAGAATTTCTCGAAATCTGGTTGTGAAAAGTCTTTCATTCAGTCTTAGGATCGTATCTAACAGGGAAATAGGCCGTGTTTGTGATGGAGAGCAGATTGCATTCTTTTCTGCCAATATGATTATTCGAACATCCTTCCACGCTTTAGGAAAGATATTTGAAGAGAATGAGAGATTCAAAATTTGTAATAAGAGACTCCAATACATACTAGGAATGCATTGAAACATATAGCTAGATATTTCATGGGCATCACAGGATTTTTCTTTTTGCACGTGTTAACTATCTGTAAAACTTCTTCAAGTTCAACTGGTGGGATCGGTTCTTCTACTATGTCGGAATCCAAGAAGGATCCGTCAACATATGGGTGTGGTCTTATAACTTCCTTGGGGTCTACAAATAGTTCTTCATAGTGGGTGGCAGCAATTTCTAACATTTTATCCACTTCTTAAACTATCTCTCCGCTTGATGATACGAAACTCTGTAGCAATAAGGAGTTCGATTTAAAAAACCTTTTAGTTTTGGACCAGAAGGCTACCAAAGTGGGTGAAGAGGTATGACGCATTGCCAGATGTCGAGACAATTGGATCAGAGATGAAACCGGTCTACTTTTTCTTGGATCCGTACCAGGACCGGTTCACCGACCTAAACCGATTTAGCGAGAAAAGTTGATCTGATCGATCTACCGGCCAAAACCAGCCTATCGGTACTAAACAGGATGCCGATGATATGTCAGTTTATCAGAGAAAATGCGACCTACCGTCAAAATATCGGTCTACAGACAACAGGCTGAGGCTTGAAATGAAACCTTGTTTCATGGTGAGCTCTCTTTCGGGCTATCTTCGTACCTTCACGCATAATGGCATAATGCTTCACCGTTGATAACAATAGTGTCACTGATGGACAATCTGAAAACTATTTGTTAAATAAATTGATGTGTGATCAGTGGAACTAGTCCTGGTTTCAGTTGTTTTTTCATGTGAATATCATCAAAGAGCAGGAAAGTGAAAAACTTAGACCGATATAAGGCGGTTTCGACCGGTCAGGTCGACGATTCCTCAAGCAGTATTCCGTGAATTTTCGTCAAAAACCCGCAGGAAACACACCGTTTCCGATCAGAACACGCGGGAAAATGCCAGGAATTCGACGCAGAAATCCGATGATCGTATCCGGCTGCCGGTCTTTCCAAGTTTCTGTCACTCTCACCCGGAGCCGGGTAAATCCGATCACCGAATCCGTTCATTGGAATACTGCTTTCATGTTCCGTCGATTTCCGGTATTTTTCTGTGGGAACCGGCCCGTATTTCTCGACCTAGGCGGCTTAGATCGGTCGATCCAAAATCCAGACCGGTACCGGTTCCATCTCTGAATTGGGTGGTGGCAAAAGATTTCAGTTCTTTTTCGACAGCTTTGCTAAGAGATCTTACGACAGCTTTTAAATGAAGATCATCTGTTCGTTTTTGACGGAATGATAAGGCTCTAGCAAAGGAAAGGCGAACGCGAAACTCATTCGGGATTGCTCTTCGATATTTTTCTAATGGAAAATATGTCGTACACCGCGCGGAGAGTAATTACAAAAATGCTGTATATTCGTTATGGATTAAATCAAGATTGCTAAAGTTTCAGTGCTTTTTCCAAAAGGAAAATACTACTGACAGAAAAAAAGAAAAAACTTTCCAATGAATATTTCTACGAGGGGTCAAGGCCGAAGACTTCGTGGAAATAATTGCAAAAATAGGCTTATGATCACTCGTCGTCCCTCCTTCGTACGTCTATGATTGGATACCTACTTCTGATGAAAACGCGTAGTCTATTATTCTCTTAGAACGTAAGGACGTGGGTACATCGAGTTGGTATGGAACGAGAGAGCATGAGTCGGCCCATTTGAATAGTTCTTCTGATTTCTTCTCATCTAATTCTGGATCTACATTAAAATTCCCCAAAACAACACATTTTCCTGTACAAATACTTAATAAAACATTCCAGACCCAGGTTTTACTTTCAGATCCATAGATTCTGATGATTCTGAACGTTTCTTCTGCTTTCAGGTCGACAACACATACGTTAGGTATTTGACAACTAATTTGCTGTACCTGCAGATCGTTTCTGAAGAATATGAGGACGCCTCCGTGACTGTTTTCTCCAGGCTGAGAGTGATACTGATATTTGGGAAACAGCTGATATAAACTAGAGAAGTCGACCACTCCCACTTCTAAGAGTATCATAACATCAAATTTGAAGGAAAGAGATAAGAAAAAAACTTCTTGAACTCTATACGTTAGACCCCGTACATTGAAAGATAATACGTGAAGTGAAGCACTAAGGGTATGTAAGTTAAGCTTTTCGAAATTTTTCCATTTTTTTAAACAACTGGAAAGAAGAGGACCACTTTCCCATTCCTCTAGTATGTTTGAAAATAACGAGAACACAAAAAAAGATAAGGGTTCTCTAGCCCTGCATAGCATTCTATTTCGTTCAAGAAGTTTATTTGGTGCGATACAAGAGAAAAAGGGAGGTGCTAAAGGGAATAAATTCATTGCTAGCAAAAGTCTTTGCCTTCTAGTGCTTTGTTCAATTCTGCTTGTAATCGTTCTAGTGTGACGCCAAAACCAACATCTAATAATTTACCATGTATATCACGATTCATGTCCGGGGCAAATTTTGTCAAATCATTCATCATTGGTAGAAGCACTTTTGTAAATAATTTTTCATGTCTTTTTGAATAAATTTGTAGTTGTACCATACTGATCTTGATTGGTCGTTCATTATTTTGCAATTCTTGTATGTTAGTTTCCATTTTCTTACTGTTTTCAATCATATCGGTCATAAATTTTTCAAATTTAGTATTTGTTGATGATAATTGGTCTAGTGATTGATTCATTCTAGCTATATTTTGACTCATTTCATCCAATTTTGATAATAATACGTTTTCCTTATTATTGATGTAATTTACTAGATTTATAACCATAAGTTGTTGTTCTTTGAGCACTAGGTAAAGTTGGAAAATCCGTTGGATTCAAAGAAAATTGATTATTATTGTTATTATTATTGTGTAGATCATGTGTATCAGAAAGAAGCTTCTTTGTTAGATTTGCTCTAAATTCTTTGACGACGGGACATTTCATATTGTTGGATTGATGGTTTTCATTACAGTGGATGCAATGTAATTCATTAGAGCAAGAGTGTTGTTTCCAACCTTGGCACTTATCACCGCATGTTTTACACATGTCGTAAATTTGTTGGCATTGTTTTCTGAAGTGGCCAATTGCCATACATTTAGAACAAATTAGGGCACATGCAGGTGCTAGATATTCTTCAACTTCATAAGATAGCGATGTGATTAATATTTCGCCTTTGGATAATATAATGTTTCTTTGTTCAGGTCTATTAAATTCAATTTTGATCAATTTTATGTCTTCGTGTTTTTTGTTTTTCATACATATTATGTTTACTACATCCGAATAACATGCTTTTAATTCATTGGAAAAATGTTCTAAATCAATATTTATACCAACATTTTCGATTAATAAGGAAAACTGTGGTGGAATGATGGTTTTGATGGTCGATCAAAGGTTTCACCATTAATTGAACTAGGCCAGTTGAAGTCATCATATAAATATGCAAAGGAGTAACTATTCTTGACAAATAATAATATATCAATCTCATTACTATTGCACTTGTTAGTTGAACGGCGGCAGCCGACAAATTCAATTTCAAGTTGATGTTGCTGTTTCGAATGTTTACGAAGATCATCAGCCACAGCTTGTTTCTTTATATTTTGATTCGCAAAGCGGATGACAAACAGTGGAAATAGGCATGACCCAAACCCAAACTGTTTGGGAGTTTGCGTTTGGGTTTGGGTTAGCGCCCCAAGCTCGATTAACAATGCATGTTTCAGTTTGTGTTGGTTACATACGTATATGGAACATACAAGTCTTTTTCTTCTTGTTTTCATATATAGAAAAACTATTTGCATATATAGATGGCAAATGGAAAAAGCCCAAACCCCAAACTCAAACTCATTTCCTAACCAAATCCAAACTCATTAGACCAAACTCACCAAACTCAAACAGTTTGGGTTTGGGTCATGCCTAGGCGGAAATGATATTTCGACTGTGCAAAATGCTCAGCTTCAATTGTGATAGATTCATTAACAGTTGTTCTGTACGCACTATTTGTAGATGCCATAAAACTGCTGCAGTTGTTGATGGCTGTTGTACGATGTTTGCGTTTATTCGAGATTGCTTGTGGTTGTGAACCAGTTTTGTATTCGGGTCTTTCATAAAGCTTTCGTTTTCTGATAATTTATTATTTGATGATGAGTGAAGACAACGCATTGGCAATTCAATAGGTTGTTCATAGATTTTTGATCTTGATGGCATAGCGACAGTTGATTGTTGCATTAATGTTGAATTATAATAAGTATTAGTATGTTGATCATTTATTAATTCATAAGATTTTCTATAGGTGTTCGAAGTTGGAGATTGATGATGTTTATATGAGTGTTCATGATAACCACCACTTGGATGACTATGTTTCTCAGGAGATATTGAAGATCTTCTATTTACTTTGACAAAATAAAGTCACCACCAAATTGTTTAATTAAGATTTGGTGATCACGTGGCCAGCCACGTGATGAGAGAGAAAAAAAGCTATAGAATAGCCTATATATGTATATATGCAGAAGGTAAGGAACAAGAACACATCCTATCTGTATATGTCTTTTTTGATGAATGGGTAAACTCCTTTTTTTTATGTCATCACGATTGATTTTTTTTCTATGCATCCAACGATAAAAAAATCGCTTTGATCTACATATTGGCCAATATTTACTGCCATCTATCGAACAACACATTATGTTTTTTTTTCTCAAATAATTTTATTTATGTTTTTTTAATAATTTAGATTAAATTTGAATTAAAATCGAATCCAAATTCTAACTTTAATTAATATTCATATTTTTGATTGGTTTCATTAAATAAACCATTGATATGTACCTTGACTGATTATTCATCTGCCTTAAGATATAGACGTAGACGCCTACACATACTAGAGACCAACTAGCATAAAAAAAAACAAATGATTCAATATTCTTTGTTACTATCGTTATGGTCTATTTCATGTCTTTTCTTTTCCCATAGCAATAGATAGACGATGCTTGTCATTTTGTTTTTCTTTAACGCATGATTTGTTATACAAAGGTAGTTAATAAATATATAATTTTAGACAAACACAAGAAAAACTTATAAAACGTCTTTAATGGAAGGACATAAAATAAAAACCAAATCAAAATTTAAAGTACGTCATCAAAAACATAAATTATTTCGTGCAAATGATCCATTACTTTCTGTACTTATGTGGGGTGTCAATTTCACTGTAAGTAATTTTTTTAATTAAGAAAAAAATAAAAAGTAGTATACTATTGATTTATTTAGATTCATGAATTAGAAAATGTTAATATACCAGTTATGCTTTTACCAGAACATTTCAAAGCTTGTGTTAAAATTCGTATTGATAATCAAAATTTTAACAAGTTCGTAGATAAAAATTTTAGAAAGATACTTATCTTACTGTTAGAATAATCATCTTATCGTTCGATATATTTATTTTATAGGTGTAACTATTTCATTAGTACGTGTATGATTAATTTTCAAAACGTACTTGTTCTTTCTATATAGTAATTGTAATGAATACATTCAACCTATAAAGAATTGAATTTCACTCGAAAAGGAAAAGATAATTTTTGTTTTTTATCTTTGTAAAATATTCTTGACATTCAATACACCTATTTCTTTTTTTGTAAATGTCAAGTACTTCTGAACCTAGAAAACAAAATTTTAATACATTGATCGTTTATATATAAAACATATCTTGAATATTATTTCCTAGTACTCTATTAATAAATCATATTGTTGATTCAAAAGAAATATTATAGTCAATCTGACATTATAATCCATGAAGTATTAGTTTACTTAAGATCATGTGTTCTTTTTCTTGTATGTGAATATTAATGTGATTATTAAATCATTATTTTATTTGTTAAATAAACAAAAGAATATATTTGTTTTATTTATTTTTTCTATTAGAGAAGTAATGCCAAGTCATTTCAAAGTAAAAGAATATTGCCCACTTGTATTTCGAGCTTTTCGTGAACATTGGAAAGTACATGATAGTAGTTTTCGAGTAAGTAAATTTTTTATTCGATTGTGATATAAAACAAAATTTTTATTTTTATTTTTTTTGATTTCAGGATTCACTTACTGAACCACCAATACCATTAAGTGAAACATCAAAATCTAATATAACCTATTATCAATCAATGGATCGTCGTTTTATACTTAAATGCATTTCAAAAGAAGATGTCGAACAAATTCATAATATTTTACCAGAATATCATAGAGTATGTAATGCATGTCTGTATTTCAATTTAAATACAAAAAGAAAACAAAAATATGTTCAATCTACCGTATGACATATTCATTTCGAGTAATTGAATACTTTTACATTGATATATTAATCATAAATAATATCTCGAGAGTAAAAATAAAATATTTAATTTTCTAATAAATATATGAGATTAAAATTCAATAATTTGATTCTTTAGTAGATAATTAATTCAAAAGAAGAAATATCAATAAGCCTCTTATGCATTTAGATTTTTTCTAGCTTGATTAAATTCTACTTATCAGTAAAAAAAGAATTAAATCTCTCGAGATATTTATCTCATAGGAATCAAGCGGAAAAAAAGCAATCAAAGAATAATTTTATTTATTGATATTCCGTACGATTAGATCAAAAGTTAAGGTTAAATGAAAATGTACTTACAAATAAAAATAACAACAACAAGCATTTTATTTCAATATGATTATCTACTAAAGTAATCAGAAGAGCTGCAGGCTAGAAAAATCCTATGAGAATATCAATTCATGTTACGATTTTGCTCAGATATAAAACGTTCTATTAGAAATTTTTTAACCCAAAATCATACTTTTGAATTGTAACTTGAAAATTTACAAGTAGTATCATATTAATTAGACCAATCTGTATGCAATAGAATTTAATTAAATTCTTCATATTGACTAACGCCTAAGTTAAAGTTCAGAAAATATGATTTTACTATAAAACAAATTGAATCACAACATGATCCTGTATTCTCTTATGTTTTTTTTTCTTCTAATCTATAGTTCTCATAGAGTACAGAACTTTTCAATTAGAAAAATTGAAATCTTATGTATTTAAAATATATCAATGAACATTTTAAAGAAAATAAAAATTACGATGTTTTTTTTTTGTTATAAATGTCATACTTTGAAAAATTGCTGACTTGACGTAAAACTAGATAGTACATTTAAATTTGCATTAACGACATGATGATGGAGTACGAAAACAAAAAAACTCTCTTATGACTGACTTAAAAGTTCAACATTAATTTCAAATAATAAAAACTCGTATTTGAAATTTAACAGAAACTTCAAAATCATTCTTTTATTTGTTATAAGATATTTCAATTTGTTTTTTTATCTATTTATTTTAGTATATTGTTGAAAGTCAAGGTGATACATTACTTCCTCATTATTATGCCATGTACAGATTAACAGTTGATGATAAAGAAAATTATATATTAGTTATGCGTAATATATTTTCAAGTAAATTAAAAATTCATCATAAATATGATGTTAAAGTAAATAAAAAACAAAAAAATTTTCTTTTTTTTCTAATTCAATGAATTTTTTTTTTTTTGAAGGGTTCAACTGTTGATCGAAGTGCAACCGATAAAGAAAAATTAAATCCATGTCCAACATTAAAAGATAATGATTTTTTAGAAAACAAAGGAGTTATTGATTTAGGTTTTGAACAAAAACAAATTTTTATGGAAAGACTTAAACGTGATGTTAATGTAAATAAAACTTTTTTAAACATTGTTTCTTTTCTTTGTTTTGATTATTAAAAAAACAAAAAGCAAAATTTCTGTTTTTTTTTACAGTTTCTTGTGAATCAACATAAAATGGGTTATTCATTATTGATTGGTATTCATGATCTTGATCAAGGTGGTTTAGGTAAAAATATAATTTTTTAAATAAATTATCAAATCAATTCATTATTTTAGAACGTGAAAAACGAGCATCAGTTGTAGATATGAATACATCTGATTTATCTGGTAATGATTCATCCGATGGATCAGGTAAATTAATTAATTAAAATAAAAATTAATTTTTTTTCTCTCTCTCTCTCTCTTCTTAATTTCATAGAAAGTCCAACACAAATAGGTGATGATACTTCATTTGATGAACCATTTCGAATGCGAAGTTCAGAAGGTAATTCTTTGTTTTGTTTTTTTTTTCTATACACAAAATGAAATTTTATTTTGTATCTATGTTTTTTAAGCATCAACACGACGAGAGTTATATAATCTTGGCATAATAGATATTTTAACAAATTATGGTATGAAAAAAAAGAGTGCACATGTAGCAAAAACAAAATTATCTGGTTCTGATGCTGATGGTATATCAACTGTTCGACCAGAAATATATGCTCGACGTTTTCTAGAATTTATTGATAAACATTTCATCTAAGATTACTCTTTTATATTTGCAATATTCGTTTTTCTTTTTCTTGTTTTCTGTGTGCGTTCGTACTGTATGTTTGAATGTTTCAATTCCGGTTTGTATATCTTATTCGTTGGTCATTATCTTTGATCGGAGAATTTCTACTATTTAAAATGCATGCGCGCGACTAGTTCTAGTCATATATAACTCTTTGCTGCATTCGACTTTTTTCCTTATTTCTTTACGGTCATGTATCACTGTGGTTAATTAAATTTATATTCAACGTTTTTATGTAAGTGCGCTTGCGTCTTTTCTTTTTTCTTTCTTTTTATATGGTTAGTTGAAAATTTTCTTCTTGACTGAAAACTAATATATATATATATATACATATATATATATATCCTACATAATATATTCGGTTTTGAAATTAAGTTTTATAGAAAATGAACAATACAATTTGAAAGTTTGATTGAAGTATGTATTTGAAATATAGATATATATGTCTTTTGTTGGACAGATATTCTGATGTTTTCGTTCTTTAGAAAAACAAAGATATGAATACAAAATGATGTCAAATTTTATTATTGAAACAAATATGAAGTCAATTTGATAATCTATATCGAAACAGTATATGATAGAATCAATTTTGAGATGAATTTTAATTTATTAAGCAGATTCTATTGAAACTTTATAGGATCAATGTTCTTGGAATCTTTGTTCTGCTATTGTAATCATTTTAGTGAGTGTTACAATTAAATTATCACAATTTCTTTAGAATATTTTCAAAATTATCTTTTAGTTTTTAATAAGACTAATTCAAGGTGAAAGTATTAAATTCTTTAGTATCTTCTATCGTTAAATGTCAATATTATGAATTTTGTTGTACAAAAAGAAAAACAAATTTTTTTTGTCTTATATTTATATCTGAGAATACGAGATACTAGAAAATCTAATGCTTTCACAAGTAGACTATTATTCATTTAGAAATAAAAGAAAAGTAAATATTTTGAAATTTATTGTTGAAAAGAGGAAATGAAACTACATCGAATCATATATACTAAATTTTCCTGACATGTTTTCTTTCGATCTACCATCAAATTGATTAAAAACAAAATATTATGTAATACAAGAGTTTCAAGATTTTAATTGTCAAAAGTGCACTAGAATTATTAACTAAAGATTTAATATTTATATAAATACGATGTTGCAAGAATCTAGTATATACATATCGATGTAGTTTAATCTTTTCCTTTAAACAGTGAAATCTACACATCTCTATCCGATTTCTCCAAAAAGTTAGTTTTTTTTGGAATTTGGAATGATCTCTTCTTCTTTGTCGTTGTTTATGTAAGAAACAAAACAGTATATTATTTATATGAAGTAAAAAATTGAAAACTGTACTATGACAGTTTAGGAATCTACTGCATGTCGGTTAGGTTTGGTTCGAGTGCGAAAAAAAAATATTCATGTAAGACACCACTAAGATAAAATCCTTTTACTCTATCCATATTCTCAGTAAGATCTACTTAATGATATATTATTTCGTCTAAAAAAATGATTATCACTTCGCAAAGCTTTCTCGTCAGAGCAAATACTTTGTTTTGCACATACAATTTTTATTTACTGCATTCGATTTCTGTGTTACACGTGTTGTCATCTTACTGTTTTGTTCGACAAGTATGGAAAAGAATGCAAAGTATAAACCATACCCCTTATCTCAGGTATATATATATGTCAACATTTATTACACTTACCTGTATATTAAAACATTTCTCTCAATATCTATTCAAGGTTTATACAAATACTTAATTTCCTACAACTATCCAATTACTACATTGAACACTCAAAAATACGTAAGATGAAAATGATATAGGAGTAAATTCATCCCTATGAATCTTTGTTATCAATTTTCACTAAAATATTGACTCTTAAGTTCTTTTTGAATTCACATGAGTCTTCCGCCAATTTTTGGTAGTATCTGTGACCATAAAATAATAGTCTAGAGTTCAGAGCATAATCTTTTAAACAATATCTTTCATATATCAACATTATTCAAAAGCCTACTATAGTTTTCTATATTCCAACATTAGTAAAATATGAAGTGAAGATATAATATTGGTCTTTTCACTGTTCTAATGATCATATGTTTTCAATCGAATAATAACAATATCTGAGTAGAGATGCGAGTGTTTATTAATATATAATTTTACTTTGTTTTGAAATTTAGTAAATCTTAACTGACAATATAATTTAATCAATGATTACAACTGATTATATTCCATTTGTTGTCAGTTTGGAAGAAAAACATGCTACACAATTAGATATAGTTGGTGGAAAAGGAGCAAATTTAGCCATTTTATTTCAACGAGGTTTTAATGTTCCAAATGCTTTCATAATAACAACTAATGCATTTTA